TGGAGAAAAAATAATATACATCATGTAAAGTTACAAGATCCCAATGATGAATGTAACTGTATTGTATACCTAAAATATACCAATAAACTAAATGGAAAAAAAAAGATCAGAGCAGAAATCAATGCAGTGGAGACTAAGAGAATGATACAATAAATTAATGAAGCCAAGAGTTGGTTCTTCAAAAGAATCAATAAAATTGACAAACTCTTAGCCAACCTTATCAGAAAAGGGAAAGAAAAGGCCCAAATCCATGCAATTAGGAATGAAAAAGATGACCTTACAATGGACCCAGCAGAAATCCAGAGGATCATGAATACCTACTTCGAGAACCTATATGCCAATAAGATGGAAAACACAGAAGAAATGGACAGATTCCTAGATATGTATGAATTAGCAAATTTGAACGAAGACCTAAAAATTCTAAACAACCCAATATCAATCAATGAAACTGAAAACATAATTAAAAACTTACCAACTAAGAAAAGCTCAGGTCCTGATGGCTTCACTGCTGAATTCTACAAGACATTACAGAGGAACTACCGCCACTGCTGTTTAAACTCTTCAATGAAATTGAAAGGGAAGCAAGGGCCAGGTATTTAGCTCAGTGGTTTCGCCAAGTTCGATCCCTGGAAGCAATACTCCCAAATTCATTCCTGGAAGCAAGTATCACCTTGATCCCCAAAGCAGAGAAAGATGCAACTGAAAAAGAGAACTATAGGCCAATCTCACTAAAGAACATAGATGCAAAAATGCTTAATAAGATACTGGCAAACAGAATGCAGAAGATCGTCAAGATCTTATACCCTGACCAAGTGGGATTCATCCCAGGGATGCAGGGATGGTTCAACATAAGCACATCAATAAATGTAATACACTATAATAATAGAGCCAAAGACAAAAACCATATGATCATCTCAATAGGTGCAGAAAAAGCATTTCACAAAATCCAACATGAATTTATGATAAAAACCCTACAAAAAATTGGAATAGATGGTCTCTATCTCAATCAGATAAAAGCCATCTAAGAAAACCCAACAGCCAATATCATACTAAATGGTCAAAAACTGAAATCCTTCACACTAAAATCAAGAACAAGACAAGGATGACCACCATCACCACTTCTTTTCAATATAGTTTTGGAAACATTAGCTACAGCAATTAGACTAGAGAAAGAAATAAAAGGAATAAAGATAGGAAATGAAGAAGTCAAATTGTCATTATTTGAAGATGGCATGATACTCTATATAGAAGACCCCAAGAACTCCACCAAAAGTCTTCTAGACTTAATAACCAAATTCAGTCAAGTAGCTGGATACAAGGTCAACACTCAAAATCAATAGCTTTCCTCTACATGAACAACAGACTCACTGAGAGAGAAGTAGGGCAAACAATTCCTTTCACAATAACATCCAAGAAACTGAAATACCTAGGAATCAACCTAACAAAGGAAATCAAAGACCTCTTCTCTGAAAACTATGGCACTCTGAAAAGAGAGATTGAAGATGATATCAGAAAATGGAAAGACATCCCTTGTTCCTCAGTAGGAAGAATCAACATAGTGAAAATGGTTATACTTCCAAAACTGCTATAAAGATTCAATGCTATCCCAATTGAAATTCCAGCAGCATATTTCATGGACCTTGAGAAAACAATCCAAAAATTCGTTTGGAACAAGAAGAGATCTAGGATATCAAAAGCAATTCTAGGCAACAGAGACTTGGCAGGGCTTATTACAACCCCCAACTTGAAACTATACCACAAAGCTACTGTGATTAAAAAAAAACCAGCATGGTACTGGCAAAGAAACAGACCTGAAGACTGGTGGAACAGATTAGAAGATGCAGAAATGACGCCAGACACACTTAGCCATCTCATCTTCGATAAAGGAGCCAAATACCCTCACTGGAGAAAAGATAGCCTCTTTAATAAATGGTGCTGGAAAAATTGGGTTACAACTTGCCGAAGATTGAAACTAGACCTATATCTCTCAACATGCACTAAACTAAAATCAAAATGGATTAAAGATCTAAATATTAAAACAGAAATGCTGAACCGGCTGGAACAGAGGTTAGGTAGAACTCTTGAAGACATTGGTGTAGGAAATGATTTTATGACCAAAACCTCAGTTGCCCGTGAACTAACACAAATAATCAACAAACGTAGTCCAGAGAACAAGTGAGTTCTCTTCTTATTAAAAAGCTTCTGCACAGCAAGAGAAACCAACAGCAGTGTGAAGAGACAACCCACAATGTGGAAAAAATTTTCACCTGCTGTTCCTCAGGCAAAGGTCTCCTATCTAGAATCTATAAAGAATGTATAAAAATCAAACCTCCCACATTTAAAGACCCAATCCAAAAATGGGCATCTGAAATGAACAGACATTTCTCACACAAAGAAGTAGAAATACCAAATAAACATATGAAAAAATGTTCAACATCATTGATCATTCAAGAGATGCAAATGAAAACAACACTGAGATTGTGCCTCACTTCAGAAACAATGGCTGCTATCATGAAATCAACCAGTAACAAATGCTGGCAGGGCTGTGGGGAAAGAGGAATACTGCTCCACTGCTGGTGGGAGTGTAGACTGGTGCAACACTATGGAAATCAGTAAGGAAATACCTCAAAGGACTAGGACTGGAAGTCTCATTTGACCCAGCTATTCCCCTGCTGGGGATCTTCCCCAGAGAATTAAAAGTCATACCACAGTGATATATATGCACCCATGTTCATAGCAGCACAATTTGTAATAGCCAAAGCTGGGAAGCAGCCCAATTGCCCATCAACTGGAGACTGGATAAAGAACATGTGGTTTTCTTTATAAAATGGAGTACTACTCAGCCATGAAAAATGAGAAATTAGAGACATTTATAACTAAAGGGATGCACATTGAGGCGATACTCTTAAGTCAAATCAATAGGACACACATGTAAATACCAAATAGTTTCTCTAGTGTGAGAAACAAAGTGTAAATAAGGACTAAAAGGTAGAATAGATACTGTGAAATAGGAAGAAAAGAGGCAAAGGGGACGGGGAAGTGGGAGGAGTGGGGGAAAGGAAAGAAGGGAATGGAATTAGTATGAGAAAATGAAAAAATGGAAACAAAGTCTTTGTAAATAGGGAGGGATGGAAGGGCTGAAGGGAGAGTTGGGGAATAGGGAAAAAAGAACCAAGAGAGATTATGTAAAGGTGCAAATTTCCCATGATGAATGTCATTATACTGTATACCTAAAATTTACTAATAAAATTAATATTAAAGAAAAAGAAATTATTCTGTGTGGCTCATGAATCTCTAAGTCTACTACCCACAGTGGTACCCACCTAGAAGGGCTTGTCATACAGCAGAATTCACAGATATTGATGGCACTAACAAATATGTAAATAAGTAATTGTCCTAAATTGGTTTTACTAAAGCCGGTAGATAGTATTTGACACAAATTTTGATGAAATGTCACAGCAGTGGTGGATTTGTGTGTAGGACATAGAAGGTGTGGCAGCAAGGGGAGCACAAGGGAAAGACTGACAGAGGAAGTACTGTACTGCTTACACAGATGATGTTTCTACCCATCCACTATAATGTCACTTCAAGGTTATGCTTCACTCTCAGGACCTAATCACTTCCTACAGCTCCCCACGCCCAATACTAATCTTGGATGTTAGGATTTCGACATATGAATTTGAGCAGAGGTGGACACAAGCATAGTCCATAGCAGACATATGTAATCATTTCATTGTTGCATTCAAACTCTGGGAATGCCTTTGAAACTCCCTTCAGGAACTATACAACATTGTTTTAATATCCTCCATGGTTTCATTCTTTCATAATATTTAATTTGGAAGAATAATCACTATTATTCAGAATCAAGTAAGATAATTAGATGTGTGATTACATTCAATAAAGCTAGATGAATTCAGGCATAATTGTTGTAATGGCAAGGACTAAGAACAAACCCAGCGATTCTGATCCTGGCTCAGCCATGGACAAAGTATGCAACCTAAATTTCCTTCCAGTTGTAGAATTCTTATCTAGTTTTCACTTGGAAGACAGAGAACTTGACCCCCAAGAGCATAAAATTCAGGAAATGTATATTTTTGCTATGGGAAGCAAAAGGAAACTTTATCCAACAACGTTAAGAGAACTCTGAATCACAGTAGAAAGCTGAACCAGTCACAGGGCAATTCTACAGCTGTGTCCTACAAGCTGTCTACCAATTCTGCCAGACAATTTGAACAGCAACACCAGACGCTACTGACGCGAAATTGCAGCCCTACTTCACAAGTTTGACACAGAAAATTCATTGAAATACTCAATTTTACAGCTCCTATTTGACAAAAGACTGCATACTCGTGTGCTTTCTTCTCGTATCACAGCAATTAAATATAGTTTTTTAAATACTTTTGTGGTAAGGTATATACAACAAAGGTTGCCATTTGAACCATTTCTAAATGCACAGTTGAATGCCATCCTTTACTGATGATGTTATGCAACCATTATCACTTTAAAAAAAAGAATACGTATAGTCACTCATCTATCAATGTAGCAAGTTCTAGGCCAAAGGGGGATTCTGTGTTGAACAAAAAAACGACGAGGTGTGTGGCTGTTTTTCTCCAAAGTTTCTATGTACATGCAGCCAGGGCTTTGGGAAGCCGCGCAGAGAAGCCGGCCTTCCAATCTATTTCCTGAATCAAAAATTGTCAAGCCGGGCGGGACCTGAGGTAAGGGCAGGGCCTTTGGGGGAAGGTTCCGGAGGCGGGGCCTAGTCGGGTGGGGCTCTGTTGTTGGGAGGCTGACCGTGGAGGCGGGGCTATATTTTGGCGGCTGTCTTGGGGGCGGGGGAATAGGCGGAGCTTTGTTTGTTAGAAGGCTGATCCCGGAGGCGGGGACCGGGCGGGGCTGTGTTTGGGGACATCCTGGGGCCGGGGAATTGGGCGGGGATATGCTGGGAGGCGGGCCCCGGAGGCGGGGACTGGGCGGGGATTGTGGGGAGGCCGCCCCCGCGGGCCGGGCCGGAGGAGCTCCGGGAGCAGGGGGCGGGAGGCTCTGCCGGGTCCCTCCTCCCCAACCCGGCCCCTCGCCGGACGCCGCCAGGCCGCGGGTTGCGGCTTCCCTTCACTCCTGGTCCCCAGGGTTGTGGCGGCCAGACCCGAAGCGGTTGAGTGGGATGCGGTTGACGCGGAAGCGGCTCTGCTCGTTTCTCATCGCTCTGTACTGCCTTTTCTCCTTCTACGCCGCCTACCACGTCTTCTTTGGGCCCCGCCGCTGGCCGCCGGCCGCGACCTCGCGGGGCCTCAGGAAAGGGGCGGCTCCGGCGCGGGAGAGGCGCGGCCGAGGTAGGGGAGGCGGGCCTGGGGCTGCTGGGTTCCCTGGGCCCCGGCTGTCGGGTCCAGTCCCTGCCCCGGCCCAGGGGCGCCCCTGGCCTCCGTCAGCCTTACTGGCAGCCCTGGGCTCGGGGTTGGAGGGTGACCTGGTCCTGTCCCGAGCTCACTGGCTGACCCCTGCCTCCAGCCCCGAGTCCGAGAGGCCCGCACTCCTTTAAAACTTGTGTTGAGAGTCCAAGAAATGCTCCAGGAGGCCGCAGATCGTGCTGGCCTTACAGTGTCTATGGACCTTGACGCAGTCTGCTCTGATGGTGCAGGAACTGGGAGACTGTGTCGCTTTACCTACTTGCTCCAGTCTCCGGTCCTGTTTTTTGTTTGAGACAAGGTGTTATTAAATTGCCCCCTGTCCAGTACGATTCAATTGGGTTCAGACTCAGTTTAATCTGTCCCTTTAAACAGAATTCTGCACTGCAGTATCTGAAACTGGTGGACACTACATTACGAATTGTGCATAGGCTATGTAGGTACAATCTATAAAGACTTGCAAAAGTTAAATCTGGCATGGTGGCACTTACACTTGAGCACCAGAGGCAGGAGGATCTTGAGTTGGAGGCCAACCTGGACTGCATAGCAACAACTCATCTCTAAAAACACCGTGTAAATTGATCCAGCTATTTTTATTTTTGTGGGGGAGTTGTGACAGGTTTTTGCTATGTAGTGCAGGCTGGTCTTAAACTCACTATGTAGCCCCGGCTGGCCTCAAACTCGTGGTGATCCTCCTGCCTCAGCCTACCTACCGCATGCTGGTATTAGAGGCTTGCACCACTACTCCTGGTCGATCAAATTATTTTTAAAAGTTTTGTTTTGGAGAAAATACTTGACCTGTTTCATTTTAACAGTTTATTTGTAAGATCTTTCAGAGTAATGGTTTAATAACAATTGCTAGTTTCTTCTTTTTGATTGTGTGGGTTTAACCACCTCAAATTCAGTTGCTTTTTCACTCTGAAAAATTGAAGTTGGGATGAAATTGGAACTCTCAAACATCTAATTTAAATGACTTGCATTTATTTACAATAGCAGTTATACTTATTGGTAAACACTCTTACTCTTTTAAAAACAGAACAATCTACTTTGGGAAGTGAAGAGTGGAATCCTTGGGAAGGAGATGAAAAAAATGAGCACAGACATAGAGTTAAAACTAACCTTCAAATATTAAATAAATCCATGAAAGGAAAAGCAGACCACAGAGTACAAATCTGGGGCAAAGCTGCCATTGGTAAGATAATGTACAAAGACATGTGAAAAACATTGTAAAATTCACTTTAAAATGCATTTTAATGTAGTTTACCAAGGGAATCATGATTTTTTTTTCACTTACTCTCAGTCTTTCTCCTTGCCCACTAGACAACATCTGTGTACACGCACTCCATCATTGGTCTTCAGCAGAACACAGCTTCATTTGTAGATGCAGAGTAGATTGTGTAGAAACATTATATGAAATGTATGTGTCAACTGAATTTTCATGAGGTGGTGTATTTATTGGACACTTGGTACACATGTGCAAGATGTGATCCTGCCCTTAATGGCCAAACAAGTTTGGTAAGCACTGAACAGAACAAAGTTAAATAAAGTCCTTCTCTGCAGGCCTTTCTCAGTGCCGGTGTCCATAGGGGATATGATACATCGTTGACTAAGTCATGATTGACCACAGGAGTATTTCTGCTCTGAGTATCACGTGATTCTAGTATTCCAGGATATATACTATTCTCAATTAGAGAATTGGGTCCTTGGTGAAGGCTAGAAGAATTGGAAAGAATTTAGTGAATAAGAAGGAGCTTTATTTGGCCTTTGAACATGAGTTGGATTTATTACAATAAGGAATATGAATAATAAGTACCAAATGAAAGTGAACAGAGCATAGTGCCTGATTCATGGTGTTTCATAAATTAATTTATGCTTGCATGCAAATATATACCCTTAAAGATTACTTCTGACCTCTAAATTTCAAGTACCCAGACCCAGGCTTGTAATCAAGTTCTAGCAATCTTTTTAAAAACATAAACTCTCCAATATTGATTTCTTCCTTTAAGACTCTTCCACATTCCCATTCTGGTTTTTTATTTTACCTCTTAACAAATTTTTTGTTTCTAGACCTTTTGCTTCTCAAGCTAATAAGCACAGAATAACCAGATGAATTTTATCAGATGCTCCTTTTTCAATTTATTCTCCAAATAGTCAAAGGATATCAGTTTATAGACATTCCTAGTCAAAAACGAAAAAAATGGAAGTAAAAAGGAGTTACTAGTCCAAGCAGTTTTGAAATTCAGCCTGGCAAACTCCATTAAGACTTAAGGCCTGAGAATAATCTCTGGTTTGCAACTTTGCCTTCTGGCCTCTCAGCCCCATGCGTAGAGTCGTCCTTTCTTTTTTGTGGAACATAACACATGATTGTAGCTCAGTAGTTTTATCAGTCTTATTTCCTGCTGGGAGAATTCTGGGAGCCCAGCAGCCTTCACTCATTTCAACCTCTCTCTGTCACTTTTAGTCTGAGGTTTCTGCTACTATAACAGTATCAAGAATCTGGTCTCCAATGTATTCCACAAGGATTCACTCAGTTAGACAAGAAGCTCACAGATCTTTCCTGAATAATTCCATCTCTGTTTCTGGCCTCTACTGAAATAGTTGAAAAGATCCATAAATCACACGCATAATGTCTTCCAAGAGCCCTTTATGTGAATAACTATCCTGATATGATCCTTGTGAAACACTAGCAGAAAGTTGCCTCCCCACATCATTGGCCTTCCTGATAGTTAATCTACTCTTACAATCTGGATAATCCAAGAATATTCCGAATCTTCCAATTCTGGGGCTATTTTTGCAGAACATTTCTTCTCTCTTTCACTCTTTTCTGTTACATTTTATAATAATAAGCAAGAAGTAATTACAATAATAATAAGCAAGAAGTGTTACATTTTTAACACTTTGCTTAGAAATCTCTTCCACTAAATATGCACATTTACCACTTATAAATTCTGCTTTACACATAATGCAGGCCTCAATTCAGCTAAGCTTTTTCTGTTATAAGGACCCTCTTTCCTCCAGTTGCTAATAACCCATTGCTCATTTCCTTCTAATCCTTCACCAGCATTGCCTTTAACTACCAACAATCTGCTTATGACAATTTAGATATTTTCAAAGGCAATATAGGTTTTCTTTACTGTGTTCCTCACTTTCTTCTGAGTCTTCACTAGCTGAGCCATTAACATGTATTTCTACCTTCAATCTGTTCAATGCAGTCTAATCTAGAATTTTTTAAATTATGTTCAAAATTCTTCCAGCCTTTCCTCATTTCTCAATTCCAAACCACTTCCACATTTTAAAGTATTTGTTATAGTACCATCTTCCAGGCACCATACATTATCTACATAATCTGTAGTTTCCAAAACAAATTACTACAACTTTACTATCCTACTTCTGTAAAGACTAAAGTCTAAAGTGTCCCTGAAGCTGTGCTTTGGAGGCTTTATAGCAGAATCTCTTTTCTCAAATTTTACGGTTCCTAGACACTACACACTTTCTTTGATTTATGGCCCAGCATAATTCTGACCTCTGTTTCTGGCTGGGCATCTTCCCTCTCTCTGACCTTCCTACCTCCTCCTTGTGAGGATCCTGGTGATAACATAGAATCTCCCAGATGATCCCCAATAATCTTTCCACCTCAGCATCTTTAACTTAATGATATTAAGTTAAACTTAAGTATCTTTTGCCATGTAAGATAACATATTCACAAATTGGAGATTAGGACATGGAAATCTTTGAGGGGAAGCATTATTCAGTTCACCACATTTGGAAAGACTTATCTGATTGACCAAGTTTTCATATGTAATTTTTTGGAAATCTTTTAGTGCCAGGATATAATGAGAATGGAACAAAATACACCTTTTGGTGTAACTAAAAACAAGGTTCTCAAAGAAGTTAGGTGATCTCATTATTGCCTCAGTGTGTGCTGCTGCTGCTATCTTCTATTCTTAAAGCTTTCATTCAGATGAAATTATCATAAAACTTCAAGGGCTCCCCTATGGAGAAAAGATGAAGTAGCATTTGCAAAGGGCATCATACAGTCAGGGAAGTAGGTTCAAGGAGAGGAGGTATTATCTCCTTGACATTGAATGCTTATCTCTGAGCTTCTCTGGTTGTATTTGGCCCAATTTTAATTCCTCTATTTTGTTATAAAAATAATTCTAGCCAGGGATTTAACTCAGTGGTTTGGCCGCCTGCGCAAGGACCCAAGTTTGATCCCTGGTACAAAAGAAAAAAAAATTCTAATTATATATATTTTTTGTAATGTAATGTATTTCATTTCAGAATAAAACAGGTAATAAGAGTCCAGTGATATTAGGAGGTTTCTCAAATCTAGAGAAAGGGAGGTTATTTCTTTAATATAATCCATGGTTTAGCCACATTTTACACTGACAACCCCTGAATTTTCTCTCCTACATTAGCTGCCATATTGCTGATTTTGACCATTTGCTTGGTAGCACTGCCTGCCAGCTGACTAGAGGGTGTACATTCTGATTTCATAGTCAAATATATGAAACACCAGAACATAAGCTCTTCTCACACAGTCAGGTATACAAAAAAATAAATGTTTTATGTTTTATGTCTTTGTTTTTTAATTATCAGGTTTGTATCTCTGGGAGCATATTTTTGAAGGCTTACTTGATTCCACTGATGTGACCGCTCAGTGGAGAGAAGGAAAGTCAATTGTAGGAAGAACACATTACAGGTATTGGTTGTACAACAGTAACCTTTGTCATGTTGCTATATTTTACATAATATTTTTATAAAACATTTCCATTTTAGCTAGTGAAAATACAGAAATAAATCTTGTGAATGTATATTCATAGTTAAAGTTTACTTGACTAATTCCTAGTGAAATTGTATGTTACAAAATACTTCTCCTTTTGTCTCTTTTATTTTTATTTGACTATATGGAAAGTTCATGCTTCATATTTTGTAAAATTTGTTTGGTAAGGAGCATTAAACATTTCATACAGGGCTGGGGATTTAGCTCAGTGATTCCACCGCCTGCCTCACAAACGCAAGGTCCCAAGTTCGATCCCTGGAACCTCCCCCCCAAAAAATTTCATACTTCAGTGTTAATACATAAACCTAAAAGTATTTTTTTCATATAATGGTCATGTTCACTTTTTATAATATTCAGGTGGTATCAAAGTTGTTGCTATCACTGTTGAAATTTTCATTTACTAAAACATACAGGGCCAGGGATTTAGCTCTGGTTCTGCCACCTGCCTCGCAAGCACAAGGACCCAAGTTCGATCCCCAATACCAAATAAATAAATAAAACATACATATGAGGGGCCGGGGATTTAGCTCAGTGGTTCCACCACCTGCCTCACAAGCGCAAGGTCCCGAATTCGATCCCTGGTAACAAAAAAACAAAACAAGACAAAAAAAGTACATGAGTTCTCTCATGATTTAATGAAATGGATTAGTTTTTCTGCAGTACTTAGAAATCTTTTTTTTTTTTTAAGATTCAGTAAAAACCACTGTTTTGCAAAGACTTTGGGGGATTTTTTTTTCATAAAATTTTTAGCAGTGACTATAATTTTTTAGTATTTCCAAATATAATTAATATCATTTAGAAAAGTTATAATTTCATCACACAAAATGTTTTATTAAAGTTTGCTTTCTTATTGAAATAATTATTTTTAAAAAGCTTATTTCATGTAAAAATTACATTGTTGGGCGTAAATATATGAACCAAAGGTTCTAGTTTGTATTAGGATGCCATTTCTTTACAACTAAAATCCAGAGAGAAAAAGCTATGATTTCATTTGAATTTTCACTGTTGCTCTTATTCTTTATTTACTTTATTCATACTTAAAAATCAATTTTGTTGTGTGTATCATCTCAAAGAAATCATACTTGAAAAATAAGTAGGTTTTGAAATCATCATTAGTAATGATTATTTTTCCTTTCATTTTCAGGCTTCTGTTGTTCTATTGTAGATCTTATATATAGTCCTAAATTTACAGTAGTTGGATTTGAGTGTTTGAAAGTAAATGTGTATTGTGTGTCTAAAACTCACATTTTGAAAAATAAATAAATAAAACTCACATTTTGGATTTGGAAAGCAGATATGTGGTTTGTGTACACAGCTCAGTGGCAGAGCCAGCTTGCCTGGTGCGTGCACATCCCTGAGTTCTCACTCCACCTCTGCCAAAAAATAGGAAATATGTGTTATTAGTCTAACAGTTCTACCCATAATATGTAGTATTTTCAGAAAGAATTATTGAAAATTCATAAAGAAGTTAATATCTTTTAGCTCAGAATTATATAATATTACCAAAAGATTTGAGCAAACAGCATTAACTCCCAAAAGCACACCTAACGTGCTTGAAATTTTCATGCAGAATTTTATAGTATGATCAAAAAGCAATGCTATTTCCTCTTAGGATTTAAAAGAACTGTGTACTCAAGTAAGTTCACCATTGTAGCAATTTTTTTAAAGCAGCTTATTAAAATTTTAGGCTCATGAAAAGTTAGTGTGCATAATATACTTACCCAAAACTAATAAACCTCTAGGTAATTCCAAGTTTTTATTTGAATCAAGTTACATAGGTACTAACTTAAATGCTTCAACTTAAATTTCGTATCCTTATTTGACCAAAAATAAATCAACGTAATAGTTCACCTTGAAAATAATAGAAAAGTCTCTAAATCTTGTCATTATACTTGTTACAAATAAGCATAACATTTCATTTAAATTTACAGACCATTTATATTATTTAATTTTAGCCTCATGATAATTCTAAGGAACTAGTATAAAATATATTATCAGCGTTCCAGGGTTCGTCAGGCTCAGGAATGCTAATTCTTATCAATTCACAGGTCCAAAGAATGTAATCCAAAAGACAAGTAAATAACTGAGGATGGAAATAGAATTGCCAGTCAGGCATCTGCTGGTACTAGCTTCACTGGTATGTTTCTTTCCATACAAGCAGGCTACAAGTCATGCCTTCCATATTTGATTAAATATGCTGTCAAAGCATGGGACGTAATTATATGTAGTGCTTCCAACTCCAGTTGTTTCAGAAGGTAAGAAATAGTTCTCCACACTCACCACTGAGTCAGCAACATCATACGTAATTTGAGTTCAGGATCTGAACACATGCAAGGGAAACTGAACTGATCAGCCTGATGAAGCCCTGTCACCTCTAGGCATTGTAGCAGTGTGGCTAATTTATTTTTATTTTTATTTTTTTGGTACCAGGGATCCAACTCAGGACCCTGGGCTTGCGAGGCAGGCACAGGCACCACTGAGCCAGATCCCCGGCCCTGTGGCTAATTTATTAACAGCAGAGGCAGACTATTCCAACTCTGCCACTCAGCTGTCTGACCTCAGTTTGTTAACCTCTCTGTGCCAGGGTTTCCTCAAGGTTAAAAGAAGGCTAATAATGATTCCTATTTCACAAGATAGTTTTAAAGATTACATGCATTAATAGATGCACAGTACTTAGAACAGTATCTGGCACATAATAATCACCATACAAATCCTTTGACCATTTTTAGAGTTACTTAAATAGGTACTGCAAAATCACCTTCACTCTCAGCTCTTTCTTTTCTGTTTCCTTTACTATCTAACACCTCTTCATCAAGTACCTCCCCACATATACTTTATTGACACATATTAATGTGTTCAGTTAGGTAATGTGCTAGCTTGACACCCAGACCCATTCTGTCTCTCTCTTTTTTCTTTTTTTGAGACAGGGTCTCACTATGTAGTTATGTAGTTTGAGTTGTCTTGAATTTGCTATGTAGTCTAGGCTAGCCTCAAACTCACAGCAATCCTCCTGCCTGTCCCCCGAGTGCTAGGATTACAGGGATGTACCACCACATCTTTCCCATTCTATCTCCTGAAGGAACTTTTTCTATTACTTTGCCTGCTATTACACATGGAACATGTTCATTTTTAATTTCCTAAGAGTAACCTTACTTCTCATCATGGCCCTTGTTCATCTCCCAAACACTTCCCTCAGAAATATATAATTTCCATAAGTAGGCATTATCATAGGATAAAAAATGTCCACTGATTTGATAAAAGCTAGATTCTAAATTATTTATTAATTCACTGTTATGAAGATTTCATTGTGGCATTTTCTTTTATTCTTCTTTTGTTTGTTTTGCTGTGAGACAGGATCTTGCTATGTAATTCAGACTGGCCTTGAACTCATCATATATCCAGGCTGGCCTTGAACTAGCAGCAGTTCTCCTGTCTCAGCCTCCAGAGTGCAGGGATTATAGGGATCCACCAGGACAATGGGCTTCATTATGATATTTTCAATGAGCATCTGCTAATCATTAAAAAGTTTAACTTATTTGCAAAGATCTTAGTAGAATAAAATAATATCTGATCCTTTTTAATTTTTATTACCACATGTTTGCAGTACATAATGTTTACATTCATCATGGGGATTTGGTACATGTGCTTAACACATCTTGATTCTTTGTGTGTGTGTGTGGTACTAGGAATCAAACTGAGGACCTTGCACTTGCCAGGCAGGCACGGAGCCACTGAGCTATATCCCTGGCCCACATCTTGATTCTTTTTACTTTCCCTTGCCCTCCAATTCCTCCTCTCTCCCTGCATCTCTTTGTCCCCTTCCAATTTGCAAAAACTCTTATCTCCCTCTTTCCTATTATCTTTTTATTTTGCTCTTTATTTATATTTTGGGCTTCTCATATAAAAGAAACCATGCAATATTTAAACCTGTGCATCTAATTTATTTCATTTAACATTATTTTCTCAAGGTGCTTCCAGTTTCCTATAAATGACTCAAGTTTATCCTTCCTTATATTGTGGCTTTCTTTGCCTCTTCTGATCAGTTTTGGCTTGACATCCCCTTTGTCTGAAAATAATACAGCTACTGGGCCGGGGATTTAGCTCAGTGGTTCTGCTGCCTGCCTCGCAAGCGCAAGGTCCCTGGTACCAAAAAAAAAAAAAAATAGTATAGCTACTCCTTGTTTTCAGGCTTCTGTTTCATAGAATATTGTTTTCCATCCTTTAATTTTTTTGTCTTTGAATATCTTTTTCGGTTAAATGTGTTTCTTATATACAGCATATCATTGGGCTTTGTTTCTTGATCTATCTGCCAAACTCTGTCTTTTGATTGGGGAGTTTTACCAGTAACATTGCATTGCGAGTTATTACTGAAAGACATTCATTAATTCCTGTCGTTGCATTATTTTCCTGTTGCTGATTCCTTTTTGGCATTGTTGGCTTTATTGTCTCTACAATTTTTTTGAGCATTGGTGTGGTGGTCATGAATTTCTTAAGATGCTCTTTGTCATCGGAATACTTTATTTCTCCATCTATTTTGAAAGATGGTTTTATAGGATATATCACTCTGGGTTGGAAGTTGTTTTCTTTTTTTTCTTTTTTTTTTTTTGGTACTGGGGATCAAACTTGGGACCTTGTGCTTGTGAGGCAGGCACTAGAACCACTGAGCTAAATCCCCGGCCCTGAAGTTGTTTTCTTTTAGGGTTCAAAACACTTCACTCCAAGATCTCCTGGCCTTTTAAAGTTTGTGTTCAGAAGTCTACTATAATTCTAATGGGTTGCCTATGATGTGTTATGGAGAGGTTCTTTTCTGATTATGGTTATTTGGGTTTCTATGTTTCACTTATTGTATATTAAATTCTTTCCCCATAATTGGAATGTTTTCTGCTATGTTTTTTTTTTTTTTTTTTTTGAGACAGCTC